ACCATGGAAAACAGACTGCTGTGCCCTTCTCCTTTGCTTTTATTGAGGGAAGGAGGGATTTGGGAAAGGCACAGTTTTATCACAGACTGATTGTTCTGCTCAGCTGCAGGGCTTGATGTCCTGCCGGGTTTGCAGCTCTGCCTGGGCTTTGTGTTTGAAAGAAGGTGAAATAATTGAACAAGGGGGAAAGGTCTGGAACTGCAGGAGGGTTGATTTGGATTAGATACCAAAAAAAAGCATCTATATTGAAGGTGAGAAAATGGAGATGCTCCCAGGGCTGGAGCCCTCTGCTCTGGGGCTGCAGGGCCAGGAGCCAGGGAATGGCTGCCAGGGGCAGAGGGCAGGGCTGGATCTTGGGATCTTGGGCAGGAATTGTTCCCTGGCAGGGTGGGCAGGGGCTGGGATGGAATTGCCAGAGCAGCTGGGGCTGCCCCTGGATCCCTGGCAGTGCCCAGGCCAGGCTGGGCATTGGGAGCAGCTGGGACAGTGGGAGGTGCCCCTGCCATGGCTGGGGGGCACTGGGTGGGCTCTGAGTCCCCTTCCAACCCAAACCATTCCATTGCTTCTACATTTCCATCCAAGCTGAGTTTTCCTTAGAGTTTCCTCGTTCGGGTGTCTTTGGGCAATGCTGGTGAGGAGGAAGGATGTGTGCAAGCGCTGCTGAGCACTGGGGCAGGAGGGGGGTCACGCTGGGCTGGGGCTGGCAGGGATTGCTCCAGGCAGCTCCTGGATGTGCCCAGCTCCAGCCAGGGAATGGCCCCGGTGGGGGCAGCAGGGCAGGAGAGCAGGGCTGTGGTGGCTGTGGGAGCTGGAACACAAATCCTCTGAACACATCAGCCTCGCTGCTGTCCGGATGGGAGCTGAAAGGATTCACACTGAGGGATCTGTAGCCACTTGCCAGGATCTGCTCCCTCGGAAGAGGATGTTGTGTTAATCCATCCGGAGGGGGAGCGGGGCCAGCTCTCACCTCGTTTAGTTCTGAGTGTTGAATTTACACTGGGTGTTTGCAGGCAGGGATGGATCACATGTGCTGGGGGTGTCCCCTGGGCCTTGGGGGGGTCCTGTCCCTGTCCCTCCACAGGGAAAGGAGCAGCAGCACTGTCCCCCATGTGTCCCTCTGGTGTGGGGCTGCTGGGCAGCTTCCACCTCCCAGGTCCCCTCCTGTGTCCCCCCAGCTCTGCCAGCGTGACAGACGTGCTTTAGCTGGGATCAAAGAGCAGCTTGGCTTGGGAGGGGCTTCAGCCCCTGTCTAATCCACCCAGCCATGGCAGGGACACCTCCCACTGTCCCAGGAGCTCCCAATGTCCAGCCTGGCCTTGGGCACTGCCAGGGATCCAGGGGCAGCCCCAGCTGCTCTGGGCACCCTGCCCCCTTCAGTAGAGATATTTTTCCCCTGTACCTGGTGTGAATTGCCTGCTGTTTGGTTCAAAACCAGTGGATGCTGATCACTGAAGTCCCAGCTCACTGAACTGAGCTGCTCTTTCATTTGTGGCTTTTCCAGCACACATTTGGTTGACTTAGAGGAAAAAATTGTGTTTGACTCATCTTTTTGGGCTTTGTTTAGCACTTGAGCCCCCACTTAATGACTTTCATCCTCTCACATGCATCAACACCTTTTTTTGAATTAACTGTTGAAAAAGGGAGTTTCCAGACTGAGTTGTGATTCTGATGGAAGGTTTGGCAGCTTGACAGTTGGACACTTGAGCTGCCCCAGCTCTGCCATCTCAGCAGTGTTTTGCAAGTAATTATTTTGTTCCTAGCTACCTGTGCTGCCCTGTGAGATCACAGCCACTCTGGATGTGCAGTTTCCCCTGGACCACTTATTGCCAGGCAAATTGGAGATGGAAGATAAAGAATTTTATCTTTTTTTGTTGTTATTGTTGTGTCTCCAAACCCAATAAATGTCATCAAGCTTCTGTTTTTCCCCTTAAGTATTGACCCAGGTCAATTTTTCCCCTGGTGGATCCTGTGCCACAATTCCTTGTAGGATTCCCCCGAGTTCCCCTGTCCCACCCTGGTGCAGGCACAGCCCTTTGGAGTTTCTTGCTGTGATCCTGTGACTCCAGCAGTGTCTGTGCTCTCTTGCAGTGACTCGTCACAACCACCTCAAGGACTTCATGCTGGTGGTGTCCATCGTCATCGGCGTGGGCGGCTGCTGGTTCGCCTACATCCAGAACCGCTACTCCAAGGAGCACATGAAGAAGATGATGAAGGACCTGGAGGGTCTCCACAGGGCTGAGCAGTCTCTCCATGACCTACAGGAGAGGTGGGTTCCCATTGTCCGTCCAGCTCTCCCTGCTCCTTATTCCTTTACATTTCACAGTCACAGCCCCAGGGAATGCTTTGGGTTCAGAGGGACCTTAGAGCTTGTCCCACCTCCTGCATGTGGAATTTGTCATCCAAGGTCGTTTGATGGGGGGAAAGCGTGTTGGAGCAGTGGGAGCAGTCAGAGGATTTACAAATCCCCCCCTTGGATTCTTGGAGCTGTGTGGGGAAGCAATCAATACCTCAATCAAAGGGTATTGCTTGGAAAGTTAAAAAAATACATCATTTGGAAGTATGAAATAGGAATATCTGGGCTTCTGGCATATGGATCAAATCCTGCAGCCTCAGGAATGGGGTCTCTACTCCCAGGAATCACTGCAATGTTGCCAGTAAAGCTCCTGATGGGAGAATGTGCTCCAAGAGACCCTCTGGACACTTCTGGCATCTTCTGGAACAGGGAGGAGCCTTCAGCCCTGGTGATGACAAACCCGTGGGGTGCTCTGGCAATGGAGTATTTTCAGGGCGGATTTAGAAAATAACAGAGCAGGATAGTCTGGGGCTGGAACCATTTTCTGTGAGGTTTCAGTGGAGTTTGGGAGGATAAACCTTAACTAGGCTGCCCTGTGAGCTGTGAGTGGAGCCCCTCGGGGAACTCCCTGGCCACGGAGCCACACTGGCCACGTGCCCCTGGCACAAGGTCCAGTCCCCTCTGTGGCTCCAGTCCACAGCTGGTTACACACAGCCTCGTGGGGTCTTATGTTCCAGCTTGGAAATACTCCCAAAGAATGTCTGGTTTATTTTTTCTGCATCTGGGAGGAGACAGGAATCCCTTCTCCGTGTCCATCTCTTGGAGCAGCGGTGTTGGGGCAGGAGGGCTCAGCTGGGTGGCACCTCCAGCTCCAAACTGGGAATGTGCCTGTGGGGAACGACCTTGGGCCCTGCTGCCGAGGGCAGAGCCATGTAAACAAGTGGATGTTTCTGGGAAGTTCAACTAATGCTCTAAAGCCCCTCAGGAAGAAACACAAAACCGCTGGAACTCGGCACTGCCTTGAGCCGGAGCAGCTCGGGAGGGCTCGTCCTCCACAGAGGGCAGCGAGCTCAGGGGCTGGGAGGTGAAGGGGGGCTTTGGGAGCCTCCTGAAGGGAAATATTCCTTCACTTGCTCATCCTTGCCCAGCGAGGTTCAGCTGGGCTCTTCAGCTGCCACAGGGACAGTGAAATCTCCAGACAGCCCCAGTGCTCCTGGAGAAGTTGTGCTGGAGTTCTGCTCAGAGATGTCTTTGCCAGAGATGGAAGGGCCTGGCTGTGCTGGCTGGGAGAGGCTCAGTGCTGAGCAGATCCTGGAAGGCACGGGATGCCTCTCCAGTGCCACTGCTGCTGCAGTTTGAGGAGCTGGGAACATCCATACCAAACCCTGTATTCATCTTCAGAGCAGCTTTGAGAGCATCCTGCAGCACTGACACTTCAGCCCCTTGAGTGACTCAGCAGGATCAAGCCTTGGCACATCCTGCTGAAGCCTGAGGGGTGGGCAGGTGTGCTTTGGGGATGCGTGGATGGTATGGAAGCTCCTGGGCTGTGAGCCCCAGGTAACAATGGGATGCTCTCTGAGAGTCACTGGCCCAGCTAACACCCTGCCAACCTCACAGCCCTGCTGGGAGCCTCAGCACAGCTCAGCTCCTCAGGGAAGATCCACTGATCCATGGAGATCCAGGCTTTCATTGCTGCCACCATTGCTGCACGAGTTGTTGCTGTATATTCCTACTGATAAAACTCTGTCATGAGGAGGAATGAGAACATCCGGGCAAGATGAAGACATGTCTGAATTTGCAGGATTTTGCAGGAGGAATGCAGAGCTATCCCTTCTGGGTGGTCTGATGTGCTCTGGCAGATCTTCCCCTGCTTTATTTTCTCAAAGTCTTCACTTTGGTAAAAATACCAAAAATTGATCTTAGTTTGAGACTCACTAGAGGAAATCCAGATGTGCTTTGGAAAACAAAGGAATTCTTGGTATTTGATAAATAAATAAAGCTGAGACTGAAAAGCTGACAATTCCTTTCTTCCCAGGCTAGGTGAACAGGGCAGGGTCAGGTGGGCAGCCCTGGGTCCTGGTCCTGATCCTGGTCCTGGTCCCGGTCCTGATCCCGGTCCCGGTCCCGCACTGTCCCAGAGCTGTCCCAGCACTGTCTCTGTCTCTCTCTGTGTGCTGCAGGCTGCAGAAGGCGCAGGAGGAGCACCGCTCGGTGGAGGTGGAGAAGGTGCACCTGGAGAAGAAGCTGCAGGACGAGATCAGCATTGCCAAGCAGGAGGCACACAGGCTGCGGGAGCTGCGCGAGGGCACCGAGAACGAGCTCAGCCGCCAGAAATACGCTGAGCAGGAGCTGGAGCAGGTGAGGGCTCACCTGGGGGGATGAACCTCCACAGAGACGTGGTCCTGAGGGCAGCGCTGCTTCATCCCTCTGGGAAATCACAGAAACACAGAATGTCTGCACCAGGAGGGCTCTTAAATCCCACCCAGTGCCAGCCCTGCCATGGCAGGGACACCTCCCACTGTCCCAGGAGCTCCCAATGTCCAGCCTGGCCTTGGGCACTGCCAGGGATCCAGGGGCAGCCCCAGCTGCTCTGGCAATTCCATCCCAGCCCCTGCCCACCCTGCCAGGGAACAATTCCTGCCCAAGATCCCAAGATCCAGCCCTGCCCTCTGCCCCTGGCAGCCATTCCCTGGCTCCTGGCCCTACAGCCCTTGGCCCCAGTCCCTCTCCAGCTCTCCTGGAGCCCCTTCAGGCCCTGCAAGGGGCTCTGAGCTCTCCCTGCAGCTTCTCCTCTCCGGCTGAGCACCCCCAGCTCTCCCAGCTGGGCTCCAGAGGGTTCCATCCCTGTGGCCTCCTCTGGGCTCTCTCCAGCAGCTCCAGCTGCTCCCTGTG